TTTAAGGGCAACACATGGCTTGAGTATTTTAAGAAATACTCAGCAAGTGGCCTCACTATTGAAGTCATGAACTGCAGACACATGCAACGTAATGGAACCTATCATTTAAAACAACAAAGCATGACCTTGAACCCTTTCCAGTTTCGGCAAGGTTATGGGATGTAGAGGTACATATGCCTTAGAAGAAAATGAGCTAGCACTCGTGACAATATAGGAGAACATATCGATTATGAGAATGATTGGATCATTGATTTAGGATGCTCAAACCACATGACTGATGATCAGAGTGGCGCAATGGAAACAGGGTGGCCCTCGGAGAAGGAATTATTACCACACTTGAACACATTGAAGAAATTCTTCCACAAAAGACAGGTGAATAAACTATAAACATTTGGTTAAGTATTGATGTGCCTAAAGATCCAATTAACACTAATGTTGATGAGTAAGAAGTGACTCAACCAAGCGAACCTAGTAAAAAAGATATGACACCTCAACAAAGTAGATGGTTAGAAAGAATCTAAACGTCTAATCCAAAATATGCCAACACATCTATTATAAAAAACGAAGTTAAAAAGCTAAAGACATATGAAGAAGCATCACAACATACGGCTTGACAAAAGGCAATGGAGGAAGAATTGTTAGCGTCGAGCAAAATCAAACTTAGAAACTAGTATCATTACTAGAAGATGTCAAACTCATCTCTTGTGAATGGGTTTACAAAATAAAGTGTCTCTCAGATGGATCAATCGAGAGATATAAGGCTCAGACTGTAGCTTCCCAGGCTAGACTATGATGAGACGTTTAGTCTAGTAAAAAAGAACACTATTGTACAGGTTTCTCTAGCACTTACGGTAAGTAAAGATTGAAAATTATGGCAAGTGGTTATGAAAAATGCTTTCTTACCCAGAGAGTTGAAGTGGGAGTTATATGAACCAACTAAAGAAATTTGAGAATGCAGTTGGAGTCATGAGTCAATATATGCCAAGTCCGAAGAAACTTCATTTGGATGCGGCTTGACGAATCTTGAGATATATCAAAGTACAATCGACTATAGACTTTTGTATAAAAGAAGCAAGAACTGCAATCTAGTAGGATATCACGATACTCGAAGATCAAGCACCGGGTATGTGTTCAAGCTCAGTTCGAGATCAATTTCTAAGTGTAGCAAACGACAACCAACAATACCATTGTCAACTAGAGAAGCGGAGTACAGAGCAGCTCAAAAAAGTATATGACTAAAACTCTTAACAAAGAGTTTGCACAAAAAAAATTGACTATCAAATACCATTTCATCTCCAACTAACGTGAAAGAAAGAGATTCGGAAGTAGAGATTCCAAATGGGATATTTTGTTTTGAGCTCATTTGAGGCCATGGAAGCCATGTGAGGGGTTGTAAAAGAGATGGTTGTCTAAATTGATTTAATTATGAAGGAATATACGATAATAGTGATCTGATCTGATGTTGAATAATCATATTAATGAAAGGCTGTTGATTAATCATACATTATATCCAAACATTGCCTACCTAACCTTAATAATATATAATGTTGTTATTCAGACACCAAGATTGGAACCCCATGCTGAGGCTGGTCGGTCAATTGGCCAGCATTGTAACAACAAATATTCAAAAACCATAATTTTTATAACATCCGGTGGATCTCTCTCCTTTCACTTTCCTGGTTAGCTTTGGAGTTAATTTTACCTGATTTAGTAAAGTAATAGTTCGAGTTTTTATGGAGACATCCTCGTTTCCTTCGATGTCTAATGTTATGTTGTCACAGAGATATATTGTCGAAATATTCAGATTTGAAATTCTGAAACAGTTTCTTGTTTGGGGACAAATGAAAAGATGTATTTGAATTCAAAATCTAGATTTTCAATCTAGTTGTCCACACTAAGAATTAGAGTATACTCAATGTGTTCGGTTGAATTTATAGAATCATTATCATCCTCTGATGTGTGATTCTTGTTAATGTTTGTTCTTGTACAATTTGTCTCGACCTTTTTCTCCACAATTCCAATACATTATGTTTTGTCTGTTTGGAAAAATTATTGGTTATTTGATTTTGATTGACCTTTATTTGGAATTTTTTATTTACTTCTTCCTCTTTAGTCAACACTAAGAGTACTACCGGATGAATCCACAATTTCTCATCTATGAATACTTTCGTTAAAAATTACCTCTCGGATTCCATCAAACTTCAATTTCTCAAATCCCTGGGAATTGTTGATCATAGCAACAACAGTATCCCAAGATTCGGGGGTAAAGATAACATCAAATCAATGCTTTAATTTCATTTTCAAAATCAATTTCCATCGAACTCAATTGACTTTCAATCATATTGAATTCATTTATACAATCCACAGTAGATACACCTTCAGACATTTGTAGATTGAAAAATCTACGCATCAAATACACTTTCTTCATAGCTAACGGGTCTTTGTACATGTTCGACTGCACCTTCAACAGATCTAACGATGTCTCCTTGATGATATTGAACACCACATTTTTGGACAACGTCAATCGAATCTGATCCTTGAGCTTCCACTACTCCGTGGTTAAGGTATTCAGTTTCACCCCGACAGGGTTCATGAAGATCTTTCTAGTACAGATAATCTTCAATCTTCATCTTCAAGAAGTCGAAATCTGATCCATCAAACTTCCCAATTCTAATTTTTGAGCTTTCCATCTTAATATGTTGTGGTGAATCTCGCATAACTTTAATATAAATTATTAGGACCGCCTAACAACACACACTCGATTTAGACGAACCAAAAAAAAAAAAAGATATAGGAGAGAGAAAAATATTGACTAGAGATATATATTGATGACTTTAAGTATATATCCGTAAGGAGCATAAATTACATTTTCAAAGCACGGTCAAAAGAATATATAATTTAATTTACTATATATATCTTTAGTAAATATGGCTACTATAATAACTTTCTATCATATATATATATATATATATAAATTTACCTCTTACTGTTATTTGCTTTTACTCATTTACTATATATAATTGATTACTAATATATATGATCATTTACAATACGTGTCATTTGCTATATATAATCTTACTCTATATATATAACCAACCATTGAATAGGTATAAATAAGTAACAGCCTTCCTAACCCAACCAATCAATAGTTTCAAGTAAAATAATAATCCATAAATGAATCTAAATCATATTCAAAATAGAGTGATCTCGAACATATGAAATCATGGTTAAAAAAGGTTGACAAGAAATGAGTATTACTACAAATACATACAAATACAAATAAAGTAACTATTTCTTTTCAATAACTCAATCATAAGAACTTCAAAATTAAGAACGTTTGGCTTGTTACAGTCCTATATTAGATGACTTTTTAGACATTTTCCTAGGAAGCATGTGAGTGAGAAAAAGTATGCTAAAAGAACTCGTGTTAGTTTGTGGGGATGATCATCACTCTTAAAAATAGTTTAAAATAAGTAGGTAACATAGTCATGCTGCATGAGAATATCGGAGTCATCATGTATCGAATGTAGATTCTAAATTTTGGCCTGAATTTTAGACATGAGAGTATTATAGACGGTAGTAGGTGAATTTTAGGCATGAGATGATTGAATTGTACAAAGTTATATTAGAAACATGTTTTTTTTTTTAATCCAATCATTGATCATTTTATAAGTAAATTTGCTAGTTCATTGTTATTAAAGCTGCATGACAAAATTAGGAAGTTCTCACGCATAATTAAACTAATTCTTTAGTTACTTGTAAATCCAAAATTGAGAGGTTTATTTCATTATTGTCCTTCTCATTATTACTTAAAATGATACTCAATTTCATTATCCTTCGTTATTAGGTGACAAGATTTTATATCAATTATCATAATCCTGGTACACCGAAAACAAAATTCAATCTCGTTGCCATTAATATCATATACATGTTAGACGAACACAACTCTCCACAACGATATGATATTGTCCACTGTGAGCATAAACTCTCATGACTTTGTTTTGGGCTTCCCAAAAGGCCTCAGGTTTATACTTAAAGAATACTATCTCCATTGATATCAGATCTTTTGGAGAAGTCCAAAACAAAGCCATGAAAGTTTATGTTCAAAGTAGACAATATCGTATCATTGTGGATAGTCATGTTCAACTAACAATACATACTTTTTTTTTCTTACTTTCAACATTTTGCATTGTCTTTATTATTATTTTTCTTTCTTTTCCTTGTCCTTCCGTCTTCTTTTCTTTTTGAATTTTTTTTATTGATAAAAAAATATCAATTGTTTTTATAGTTATAAGTGAGAGAGATGCATGAATAAATGGAAATCACTTCGAATGAAAACGATCCTAAAAATAAGATGATTAAGAAAATTTTAAAAGAAATAAAAGTTACTGTTTAAACCAACAAAGTATACCTTTCTCTTCCGTGGTTCAATCATAGGAATTTCATAGATAATAGTATATTGCTTCCGTGTTAATTTATGAAAATAATCTTCTAAGATAGTATAATTCTATGTTGGGTTTCTGTTAGTTTGCGGGGATAGTGAAGTTAGTGAAGTATGTACCGTAATCATATCGTAAGAGATGAGACTATTAAGTGTCGAATCTTGGGCATAAATCATTACAATTTTATTAAAAATATATTATAATATTCAATCTCATCTTTTGTGCAAAGAAATCACTATCTAGATCGATTAACCTATCAAAATTGGGCGCTATTTTTTTTTTTTTCTTTTAATGTGATTTTTCTAGATTCTGTGTTGAAATGTATGGGTTTTTAGTATTTATATGAAGATTATATGTTTTTTTAATTTGAAATATGCATTAGTTGAGTAAATTTTACGATAATTATTATTTTACTTTCCAAAATCCCACCTTTTTGTAATTCTAATTTAGGTAATAAATTTATTTTGTTTGAAGTATAAAAGTTTGTGATAAATATGATAAGTAAACACAATTAAAGAATCTAAATCTCATGGTATCATTAAAGAAAGTAATCTAAACTAATAATTTTAAACGCCATGAATTACTCATAATATCAAAAGATTGTAGGATACAATTTGCTTACTCTCTCAGTGAGTTTGCTTCTCACATCACACCTCTTATTATGGACGGCTTTCTACTAAGGGAAGGAAAGGCTTACCCTATATAGAAAAAAAATGTGTTCTTCAAGGAAGGAGGAGAAGGAAAGAACACACATTCGACTACCGACCAGGCTCAGTAAGTATATCCCTTCACGAACATTCCCCTCTTGGCCTCGTCGCTTTCACCATCGGCAGAGTACTTCCCGAGCTGAGCAAGGGAGTTCGCCTTGGCACGCACCAGAAGTGCTTTCTGTGCAGCCTCAACGTTTTCAGGGTTTCCTTGCCATGTCTTGAGAACGGTGTTCTGCAATGCACGGGCGTAAGAGAAGGAGACGTGCCAGGGGTTGGGGCTTTGGTTCATCGCATTCAGGTTCAATGTTGCTTCCACTTCAGACTGTCCTCCAGATAAAAACTGCATACAGAACAACAAAAGATTTAATTGTACTGTATCTGCTATTTAAATGAGTTTGTTGAACAAAGGAATGTTAACGCATCCTAACCGAAGAGTCAAGAACTGTACACAAAGCCAAAGATTGACCGAGTTCATCTCCTAAAAATCATTCAGCAGATAAACTAGTTGAAAGAGGTAGTTCAATAATTCATACCATGATTCCAGGGACTGCAGGGGGAACTCTTCTACTGAGCATCTTTAGTGTGTATTTGGCAATAGTTTGAGGAGAGGCCTTGTCCTTGTGTTCGGCCCCGGGTGTTACCATGCTAGGCTTTAGAAGGATTCCTTCAAACAGAACATTGTTTTCGGCCAAATAGAAGAATACTTCAGACCAGACCTTTTCAGCCACTTCAAGTGTCCTATCAATGGAATGGTCCCCATCAAGAAGGATCTCAGGTTCTACAATAGGTACAAGGCCATTCTCCTGCAATGAAAGTGAATCATGAAATCACTATAACAACTCAAGCCCACCGCTATCGGATAATGTCCTCTTTAGGCTCTTCCCTTCCAGGTTTCCCCTCAAGGTTTTAAAACACGTCCACTGTGGAGAGGTTTCCACAATGAATGTTTTGTTCCCCTCTCCAACCAATGTGGGAACTCATAATCCACACCCCTTGGGGGCCAAACGTCCTCGCTGGCACACCGCTTGGTTTGTAACAACCCAAGTCCACCGCTAGCAGATATTGTTCTCTTTGGACTTTTCCATCTGGACTTCCCGTCAAAGTTTTAAAATGCGTCCACTAGTGAGAGGTTTCCACATCCTTATAAGGAATGTTTCGTTCCCCTCTCCAACCAACGTGAGAACTCACAAGCATGGACACTATACGGATATGAGATACAAATACAACATGATACAAACATGATACAGACATAATGACACATTAAAGTTATTAAAATATACATTTTTTTAAATATATCATCTATACCATAAATAAATTCAAAGCCAATAAGTTTATCCAATTAGAGTTTAAGAATTATGACGAATATTTTACCTATATTGACTTAGTAAAAACTATTGTCGAACAGATATATCTAGTGCTAACAAACATGTTCAACAAGTAAACCAAACTAAAGTATTTCTGCTACTTGGTGATGGTAATGGTAAACAAGTTCATTGAAGAGCCATATACCTGAGAAATGGCAGCGTATCGTGCAAGGCCCCAAGCAGCTTCCTTAACAGCCAGAGCAGAAGGACCACAAGGAATGCTAACAACCGTCCGCCTATACGTTTTATATGGTTTAGATTTTGCATAATTAGACAAAAATAAATGTTAAAAGAACAAAACACAAGAGAGTCAATCAAAGCAGTAAACTCCACATGTTAATTTGCGTCTCAGGTTCACCAAGAACATGCTGACTTACCACTTAGCAAAACGGGCACCTTGCTTATAGTATTCGGCAGATCTCGAAGCCAATCCATCTAAACCTTGACACCAAGATTCATTGTTGGATCCTGGCAGAGGAACCAAACCCTGAAACCCACAAAATACAAATATGAAACGAAACTCGATATTCAGAAACTTCGCATACTTGATACTAAGCTGTTTTCTGTGTAATAAAAGGTAAGAGGACAATTTACCTTGTCAACTTTAATACCAGGCATAATTTTTGCATCCCGCAAGCAGTCGACAAATTTCTTCCCATCCGTGGTTGACTGGTAAAGTGTTTCCTCAAAGAGAATAGCACCAGATATGTAATCGCCCAAGCCAGGCGTGGTCAGAAGAAGCTGTCTGTAAGCTTGTCTGTTGGTTTCGGTATTATCCAAGCCAATGGATGCTAACCTCTTCCCACATGTTGCATTAGACTCATCAATGGCAAGAATACCACGTCCAGGAGATGCAACTGATTTCTGAAAATCAAAAAATATAAAAAAATTACTGGCTTGATACAAGGAAACCAACCTAATTAAAACAGAGTCACAACGTAACAAAATATGAAGGTTATCCTGCCATTTTGCAACGTTGAATGCAAGCTAGTATAAGTTCGGTGAGAGATGATGACCGTTTCTTCTTAAGTATTCATATTTAGTGAAATATGAAATATAGATCTAATATATTAAAATTACAAAAAGGGGAAAAAAGAGTCCATTGCTGACATGCCGAAAAGCTCTGAGTCTGATCCTTTCGACAAGGATAAAAAAAGATAGGTCGTTCACCACAAAATACAACAAGAACTATAACAGCTCAAGTCCACCGTTAGTAGATATTGTCCTCTTCGGGTTTCCCCTCAAGGTTTTTAAAAGGCGTCTACTAGGGAGAGGTTTACACACCATTATAAAGAATGTTTCGTTCTCCTCCCCAACCGCTGTGGGATCTCACAATCCACCCCCCTTCGGGGTCCAGCGTCTTCGTTGGCACTCATTCCCTTCTCCAATCGATGTGGGACCCCCCCCCCCA